TTTAGACAATTATATTCTGCTTTTGACAGCACTGTGTTTTCTCACTGTAAAAGCAGTCCAGATGGAGTAAAAAATAAAAGTCAAATAAAACTATTTGAAAACAATATTTTGTGATAAACAGAAACCATTTTCTACAATCAGCATCCGTTACTTGATTGGTATATTTCTTAATTTATGATCTGGTAATTGCCCAAGGACGACAAGGTGTAGACGTACTTTCCTTAGTTTACTTTTAGCTCCCTGTACTTCAAGCCTCACAGGCAATGTGTTCCCTGCCTTGTTTCAAGGGGACTCCAGGGTATTTTTTCTCCCATGTGATTCCAAAAGCAGTTAGCCTTTTAGCCTAGCAGGGGGGAATGGGAGGAAATAAAGAGAAAAAAAAATTAAACCTTAGGCACTATATCTCCAATCACTGACAAAATTATATTTTAATTATGGTTTTAAATAAAAATATTATATTTAATATTATATTTTAATTAATTTGTATAGTATTGGAATACTAAACAAAGCGGAACTGCCTGCTTACTCTGTAGTCTGGAGCAGAACGAAATAGAACAGGTAGGGCAGAACACGGCAAAAGGGTTGTAAATGTTTGTGCACAAGGTTTGATCTTGGGGATGGAGGAAGGATTTTTTTTTTAAGTTATTCAAATGCTAGGTTGCTTCCGAAGAGTTATTATTCTCAGACATCAATAATGAACTCTTCAAATACCCTCATCCCAGACAGCTCTGAGTCCAGTTTATAACAAGACCAATAACTCGCTTCTTGATCTCTAAAGTGACTTGTTCCATTCTCCTGACTTCAGGGCCAAAATGAGTTGTTTATTAGTTACAGCAAGTATAAAAAAGGCCATCACAACCTGTGGTCGGTTCCATGAACGACAACTTGTTTTCTAATAACTGCCACATGGACAATAGCCAAATTTCTGAAAAGATTTAGATACACCAAATGCATACAGATGGTCATTTTAAAGTCCTTTTCCCCAGCAATATTTTAGCATCGAATTTGATAAATCACTACATTTGGAAGCTGTGAGGGTGTACAGAGACCTTCAGAAAGCAAACATTAACTGGAGGCTTGGCAGTTTGAAGCTCTTCAAGCAGAAAAGTCTGGCAAAGAACAAAAGGGGTTTGTGATATGCATCAGTCTCCATGTAACCTTGAGCCAATCAGCTAACTTCTCTGGAACACCAATTTTCTCATTTTATGAAACAAGATTTCATTCAGTCAACAGGATAACCTAGTGAAGGCCTGACTCTGGAATCCCACAGGCCTTGGATGGATTGCTGGCACTAGCACTGGAGCTTTTGTCTCCTTGTTTGTTACAATTTGGATATTGGTGAGTACCCTACAGAGGAATCATGATTAAATTGTCTACTTAATTTACTCTTAAGTGCCTGGCCACGTGTAAGTGGTCAATACAGGCTGTTTTCATTTTTACTATTACCAATGGAACCTACTGCATGCCTAGCATTGGGTAAGAGGCCCAGATTACAAGGTTGTGCAGAATGCAAGTCTATTCTCAAGGAATTCATTTTGCAGGGAAGAGGCAGGGGCCACAAATAGGAAGCATCAAATTCCCTATTGAGAAAGAAAAGAGGCTTCATAGAAAAGCTGCTGGAGCCCAGGCTTAAAGATAAGTAGCGTTGGGACCAGAACCAGATGTCTAAGAACTCTTTGAGGCTTAAAGTCAGAAACTTTTGAAAATATTGGTCCAGAATGTTGTATACACAAAATTAGAACACATTCATTCATTAACTTTCCATCCAGAACTGTAATCATTAACCACAGCTCGACACTCCCTTTCCCACAAAACCAAACAAAACTTGCTTAGCAATCCAAATCCTGGGGCTTGGAAAATACTTTTATGTCCTACTCTCTGCTTGCATATATGAACTCACACAGGTGAGTTGTGAAGTACTCCTCCCATACTCAGAAAACCGGAGGCCAGTATCACAGGCACAGCCAGGGAATGGACCGGCCAAAGCTCAGGCTTTTGGATCGCATTTGACTCGGGGCATCCAATTTTAAACAGGGCACCAGCCCAGGGTCAGCAGTCTCACTCCAGTCAAAGACGAGGAGCCAACGGTCGCAGGCGCAATTTTAAAGACGTCTGGAGAAGAAAAGGGTCTTCGATCCCAGGGCCATCGGGAGCCAAGGCTCTTGGGGGATCCCAGCTCCCGCCTGGGACAATGTCGCTGACCGCCCCGGGCCGCTCGCAGTGCCCGGGCCACGCTGGGGTGCACTGGGGTTTCTTCTCCACACCCAGACTTAGCTTCGCCCCTGGAGGAGTCTGTCTTCCTGGAACACGGAACGCGGGCGGACTGTGTTCTCGGTCACAATCGGCTCGGACCCGCCGGGGGCCACGGGCGCTAGCAGGCAGCAGTGCCTCGCAAGAAGCGCCGCGCCCCGCTCCGGTGCGCACACCTCCGCTCCCGCCGGCAGCGTGCGGTCTGGTGTGCGGGGGACGGGGCGGGGCGCGGCGGGGCGGAGCCGAGCGCACTGCAGGCCCGCCCCTGCGCCCCTCCCCCGCCGGCGGAGATTGACGGGGCTCGGGCACCCACCCCAACCAATGAGCGCGTCCTGGGGCGGGCCCTGGAACCGGCTGCTCCTGCTACTTAGAGTCGTCGGCGCGGCTGTGGGAAAGCAGAGTCGAGCCGGGACTGTCCAGGGGGAGCAGGCGCCCCGGCCAGCGCAGACCCGGAGGCGCACGGGCACCGCACCGCACGGTTCGGCGCGGAGCAGTGCGGAGCCACAGCCCCACGCGCAGCCCAGGACTCACTCGCCACCGCCGCCTCCGCAGCACCCATGGGGACCAGGAGACTTTAAAGGAGTTTGGGGTTTCGGGAGCAGGGAAATCACGGGTAGGGAGAAGCGGCTTTCTTTGCCTTGGAAACGGTTTTTCTTCGATTGTTTGGATCCTGTGCTGGGTTGGAGGGAGGGGGTCTTTGAGCTGAAAGTGGACCTCTCTGCACACACACGCTCCCACCCACACCCACACACATACACTGCACTGGCTTTCTCCGTCCTCCCCTGCCCCTTTGTTAGGTTATTTTAGACAGAGCAGCCTCGCCCTGGCGCAGTCCGATTGGCTCTGCTGGGGACAAGGCAAGAGAAGTAAGGGGCAGAGTGCACCTGCCTGGGAGGGCAGGTGTGCCCGGGTGCTTGGGCGTACGTGCATCGGCGAGCGTGCAAGCGTGGGGCTGAAACGGTGCACGAATGTGTGGGGTCTAAGTGTGCCACTGTGTCGTCGCGAAGGTTTGTCATTGTGGGTGTATGTGACATTATACACCAGTACACCAGCCTGCCAGTGTCTGGACTCCCAAGTGTCCAAAATGTTGCTGGTGTCAATTGAATGCCTGAGAATGTGTCCGATTGTCATTGTGCGAGCCGCTGTAAGGGGAGGAAGGCAACCTAGTGCGAAACTGGGAGGTGGGCTGGAGACATGGGAGCTCAGCTTGCTCCCAGCTCACGGGCCTTAGGCTCCCTTCTCCCTCCCAGCCCACCCCTCCGTCCTTCCCCGGTGTCCGTCTCCCACGCTGCCACAGCCAGCGCTCTCCTCCCCACGGGGACCCCGCAACCTCTCCAGCCAGCCTGGGTATTTTCTTCTGGGAGTTGGATCGGGTTCCCGGAAGGGGTCGGAGGCTGTGCGGTGGCGTTTGCTCTCGCGGTCGCCTTCTGGACCGGTGGCGGCTTATCTGCCCCTCCTACCCGCGGGGAGGCACGGGGGACTCGGCTGTAAAGGGTGACTCTGGTGAGAGCACATAGGTGAGCCGGCAGGTCCCAGGGGCACGCACGCCTTGGGGAGGGACACCGAAAGGGACAGCCCCGACTCTGATGGTGTCTCTGCCTCTCTGTGCTCCGCAGATCCCCGCTCCTGGCCCTCGCCTCGCCGCCTCATTGATGGGCAACCAACTGGACCGCATCACCCACCTCAACTACAGCGAGTTGCCCACAGGGGACCCGTCGGGGATTGAGAAGGACGAACTGCGGGTCGGGGTCGCCTACTTCTTCTCGGATGATGAGGAAGACCTGGACGAACGCGGGCAGCCCGACAAGTTTGGAGTGAAGGCCCCCCCGGGTTGCACCCCCTGCCCGGAGAGCCCCAGCCGCCACCACCACCACCTGCTGCACCAGCTGCTTCTCAACGAGACTCAGTTTTCCGCCTTTCGGGGCCAGGAATGCATCTTTTCCAAAGTGAGCGGCGGCCCGCAGGGCGCGGACCTGAGCGTCTACGCGGTCACCGCGCTGCCCGCGCTCTGCGAACCAGGAGACCTGCTGGAGCTGCTGTGGCTGCAGCCCGCGCCGGAGCCGCCCGCGCCCGCCCCGCACTGGGCCGTCTACGTGGGCGGCGGGCAGATCATCCACCTGCACCAAGGCGAGATCCGCCAGGACAGCCTGTACGAGGCGGGCGCGGCCAACGTGGGCCGGGTGGTGAATAGCTGGTACCGCTACCGCCCGCTGGTGGCCGAGCTGGTGGTGCAGAACGCCTGCGGCCACCTGGGCCTCAAGAGCGAGGAGATCTGCTGGACGAACTCGGAGAGCTTCGCCGCCTGGTGCCGCTTCGGCAAGCGGGAGTTCAAGGCGGGAGGGGAGGTGCCGGCCGCCGCGCAGCCCCCGCAGCAGCAGTACTATCTCAAGGTGCACCTGGGGGAGAACAAGGTCCACACCGCCAGGTTTCACAGCCTGGAAGACCTCATCCGCGAGAAGCGCCGCATCGACGCCAGCGGCCGCCTGCGCGTGCTCCAGGAGCTCGCCGACCTCGTGGACGACAAGGAGTAGCCGCCGAGGGGCTGTCGGCCCCGCCGCCTCCCCGCGTGCCGCACCCGTCCCGTCCCCGCACCCGGACTTTGCGGCCCGCGGTTTTCAACCCCAGTCCCCTCGCGCGCCCGCCGCCGGTGGCCCAGGCCCGGGCTGCACCTTCGCATCCCCCTCCCGGGCCGGCGGCAGGAAGTCTCAGGAACTGCCCCGGGGCGGAAAGGGCGCAGCGGAAAGGGTGGTGACGGTGCTGGGAGACCCGGCGTGCGCTTTCCCCTTAAGATGTGAACCGGGAAAGGGGAAGGGGCTGAGGGGAGAAAGAACGTGGCCTCCCCTGCGAGTCTATGGTCAGTGACTGTGACCCGACCGGGAAACGACCCTCTTCTCAAAAGCTACGATCACCGCCCGGAGCGCGCGCGCACAGACCGGTCGCAGGCGAGAATTGGTCTTTTCAGGGCACAGTTCAGCTCCTCTGTGGCTGCGTCCCCAGATGGCAGGATTTCCAAGAAATCGAGACTGTCCCTCGTGCACTTGGGAATAATAATTCCCCAAGACAGCACTTGGGGATTCCGGGTTATCCTGAGGCTGCCCGGGACTTCTCCAGCTCTCCAGCCCCAGGTCTCCCGACATTGTGTTCCAGGCTGCGGGCTAAGCCAGACAGTGTTCGCCTCCCGTTCTTTCCACCGAGGGAAGCGAACGCCACCCCCACCCGCCTTTGCCTGCGAGTCTCCCTCGCTGGCCGCAGGGAAGCCAGTCCGGTCCCGGGAGGAAGATGGCGCAGCAAATTCGGTGAGGACGGCCGGCCCCGCCCCCGACAAGGAGCTCGCGCGTTCACCTGGTGTCTGGGAACTTGAATGTGTGATGGGCGCTTATTGTTCTGAACCCTTGATGGCTCCCTCCTCGGGCTGCATTTCAAAAATAGTCATATTTTTAAAGGAGTTGGAGGAGAGGGAGGGGGAGGACATGGCACCATTCCAGAAACCAGCATTATTACAACACCATAGCCAGTATATTTAGTTTGGCTTTTCCTAACATAGAAATCTTTGAAGGTGGGAGAGTGGAAATAAAGTTTTAAAAATGAGAGAGCAGTTTTCCAACTATGTCAACAAAGCCTATCGTGTTGATGTTTTTATTGATCATTTTAGCAACATGCTAATAAAATTTCAAATTGAAATTTTTATTTTCATGGCTTTAATCCATGATAGTTTAAATACTGGGGGCCATTAAGAGTGGATGTAGCTAAGAGCTTAGCTAACATTGCCTTTTCACTCTATTTTTCTCAAATATTATAAGAATTCTGTTTTTGACTATTGTAGTTAGTTTTTTGGCTTTAAACAGCAGCCCTAGTAATGGTGGAGTTGTTAATGAATGTGTATATTGTACTGAATTTCTGTCAGTTAAGGGGTTCACTGCTTTGGTGGAAATTGCTAGCAGGTTCCATGATGTTTCTTTTCTCCATGTTGTACCTCATTATCATTTCAAATTTGCATTTCTATTTTTCTTCTTCTCCTCCTGATCCCTTTAAAACTGAATCTAGAGTTGGTGGCTTTTCCCCCTCCTCTTTAGCTAGTTCCTCAGTTCAGTTCTTGCTGAAAACAGGGAAGAACTAGTAGGATCAGGACAAATGTGTGTTTTTCAAAAACTGAAGGCTGGGTGTGAAACCCCTTCCTTGGACAAGGATTATAAACTTCTCTCCTCCTGCTGCAGCCCCAGCCTAACTGATAGTTACTTGATTCAATGTGTTAGACGCTTATAGCATTTAGGTCTCTTTCAAGGGAATTTGTCAAATAATGCTGTTTAGCTAATTGTTGCAAGCAATTGCACATTAACAGCTGTGATTTGGTTGGACAGAAACTATTACGACCAAAGCCAGTTTCTTGGCATTTCAAAAATAATGCAATAAAAACTAGTTGAGGTTAGCTGAGACTGAAAATGCCTTTTTCATGATAAATGATTCACTTCTATTTTTTTTTCTTTCTTTTTTTCTTTGGTTTTCATCCTGGATTCATTCCCTGACCTTAAATCAAAAGGTCAGATCAATGAAATATGAACTAAAGTATTTTTCTTAAACCTATTGAGTGATTTATTTTTTAAAAAATGTTTAAATGCATATGCTTTTCTTTTAGCACAACAGCAAAACTTTCGTAATAACTCACTTACCCTTGCATGTATAAATAACTGAAAGTCATTTATTTCCCTAACTTATTCCTCTTTCAAATAACAGGTGGCAGATCATAAAACGAAATTCTTTATTGTATCTACACATTCCACATTCCTTACTGTGTCCTGTTACTGTATCTTGGCTCCCTGCTGTATTAAACACCATCTTAAGCACTTGTTCCTTCAGGACTCCTTCTTGACATTTTATCTTCCCCTCAAAGTCACTCAAGGGTGGGACTTCATCAAAAGAAATGAATTAGTCTCCATCACACCTAATACTAAGATTTATTTCCTCTGATGGTACATAGATTTCTCTCTCACTAAGAGGTCACTCATCACTCTCATAGAGGAATGGTTTGTCAGCTTTATACTTGCCGAGGCTAAACTGGCAGTAAAAATGAATTGGGTAGTTAAAGTGGCATTCGTTACGATATTGGCCTATTAAATGATCGGGTTCATGATAATACCTCTACAAACATGCAATAATAAAACAATAGTTACAGAAGAAACTTGAAAGGCTTGCAAGGTTTCTTATATTCTTGTTGAAATAATCATTTATTATCTCTTTGTTCAGTGTTAATAAGGTAACCCATGGCAGAAAAATTTGAGTAACAGTTCATCGTGCAGAGGATATGGTCAAGATATTACCTAATGGCTTTATCCTGAAAAAGGTGTATATGTTGACAATATGAGTGAAACCAAGATGGTGAAATTTCCCATGGCAGATAGCATGGGCACAGTTGATTTTTATTGTGGGTGAATGTAACCATTCTGTATTTTACCAGAGGTGTAGAAATTAGCCCAAAAGTTTCCTAAACACTTCAATGGTATTAGGAATTTAGTTTTGGTATTAGTTGTCCTCTAGAGACCGCAGCTTCCTAGTAATTTCCATGATGTTGGGTGTGGCTAAGCTGGGGATGGGTTCTGTTGAGCCTGCGCTGGTGTAGAGGAAAGATTTCTTTATACTACATCTTTTCTCCACTTTCAGGTAGTGAAAACAAACTATGATTTAAAAAGAAAAGAAAAAGAAGAGAAAAGACAGGAACTTTTACTTCAAAGAGTGCTTTGTTCCACTTTTATTTAAACCAAAAATAAAATAAAATAAGGAGGAGGGCTGGATATACTTTAAACAAAACCAGTCCTGAAATGCTGTTATTCTCAAAGTACATTCCTTCTATTAAAAAAAAAAAAAGCTATAGAATTTACATACATTTGTAAAAGTATGAGTTAAATCGATATAAAGTGTTCCTTAATATTTAAAAATGTAAGCTGCTGTCATGACAGTATTTTATTAAAATAATATGTATTATAGTCAGGAAAGAATTGTGCTAGATTAGAACATCAAGCACAGAGGCAGCTGTATGCTTTACTTTATTTTTTTTTAACTTTTTTGTTTACCTTCCCCTATGTATAATTTTTCTGTGGTGAACACTTTTATTGGAACATGGCTATTTTATTTTTCTTGGAAACATACGCTACTTGGTATTTACAAAATAATGAATTACCCGAATAAGCAGTATAAACTAAAAGTCTTCAAACATCACTTTATTGATCACTTATGTTTTGTGGTGCACTTTCAACATCCCTAAGAGTTGAATGTCTTAGTCGTCTAAGTGGAACAGGGTCAAATTTCAATGAAATTTATAACAATCGCACGGTCATAATATACCAACCTAATTTTCTTTTATTCATAGGCATATCTTTAAAGCTTCTTGTTTTTGAACAAATGAAGAGAATCCAGTTAATTTTTGCCTTTTAGAGGTGATTTGCCACATGCACAAAGGGTCTGTAGGTAAAAGACAGGCTTTTGGGTTTCCTGAAACATTAAAAACTGTATTTACAGAATAGTTATCTAACACTCGAGTCAATGTGTATTTTTTGAAAATCACTAGCTATTCATGTAATATACATATATACATGTGTACATAAACATACATGTACACTTACATAGTTGTAAATACACACATATACATATATAATCTGTGTACACATACGTTGCTGTCTAAAGCTAGCAATTGTTTCATTCAGATACACACACACACACACACACACACACACACACACACACAAACATACAGACTACTTAAAAACGAAATGGAGAGTGACTTGAGATACACAACAACAGGAGGAAAAAACCCTGGCAGTCATGTAGCTAATGTATAACTGGGCAGCAAGCAGCTATGCTTAAAGCTAACAATAAATAAAAAGAAAATGTGGGAGTTGTGCAATTAGTTTTGTTCTCATTTCTGGAAGAATATATTACTGATTTCTCTAACTAAAAAGAAACAATTCAAAGGAAAGCTGTAAATATTAGGAGGTAATTGAAAAATAAGAAGCAAGATAAAGTGGGGAGGTTATGAGATGATATAATGAGCTAATAAGCTTTTCAACAGGGGACATCTGTTCTCCCTTCTAACTGAAGACAAGAAAAGCTAGGATCCTCTCTTTCAATCATTTAGTAATTTTTAAAATCCCATTATTTCATAATTCAAAGTTTACCTTTGAGCTTGGATTTTTACCTCATTTGAACTCTAAATAGAAGAGGTTTAAGTATTTGAATAACTGAAAAAAAAAAGAAAACAGTCTTCCCTGCCCTTGTCACTGACGATGACACTACTTGCAATTACTGTATTTTTTGGAAGAACACTCATGAATGGTTTCCTATGTCGTGGACTTTTATCATTCTTTTTGGTGGCTGATAGAACAAAGCACACAGTGGCTACTCCATAAATGTAAGACTACGGTAGCTGTCTAGTACAAGTGATTCTCACTGATTCTTAGTTGCCAGGAAAACCAGAAAGCATATCACTTGGCTTGCCTGCAAAGACGAGCCTAAATAAATTTCTCTAACTAAAATTTGCAGGGTCTTTCCACCTCAAAAGGCTCATGGAAATACACCTTATGGGGCTTAAGGCTAATTTCAGTTCAAGGGTATTTGGAATATTTGATTTGCTTCTAGCAGAGAAAACAAACTATCAAAGAATCCAGGAAAGGTAGAAAATGTTCTCTTGTCATTCAGTCAGAAAGGGAAAAACAAACTAACAGTTCTGTCTATAACTTTCGCAAGTTCGTCTCTCATTCACCTCAAGGAGAGATTTTTCTCACATGAAATCATAGGATTATTCCTTCAGATGGAAGCTTATTGTAGCTCTTTCTAAAAATTTTCTTTGGTATGTAGGAATAGACTTACTAGATGTACATCTAACTCTGGGAAAATTAGATTTGATGGAGTTTGGTCATGGGTGTTTTCTAAATAATCATTACTCATTTATATATTAAAATATTATAATAATTGCTATGCCCTTGGCTTTTATAAACCAATTTTTAATAGGAACATAAGTTCTGAACTTAATTTTGTCCAAAGGATAGATGTTTATGAAATACTAGGTATGAATACAGTCAATGTCCTAAATTTCAAGTGCAAAGTAAATGCTTCAAGAGTTACTTTGAGCATCATTTAATGTTTCGAAACATTGAAAAAGATCATACAAGGCTATTGCTTATATGTATCCTAAGAAAATTCTTGCCATCAATGTGTGATATAGACATTAATGTTGTATTTGAGAGCTTCTTTATTATAAGAACACTGACATTTGCTTTAGTACACAAGTTATTATTCTACATTAAGTCATTTTCCCCTGACAATCCTATGACATACCAGCTCTTTGCTCACTTCCAAGTCCACTGGAGATTTCAGATTTTGCAAGGGGGTAAGTAGATCTAGGGAAGTCATACCCATGATGACTTTGTAAAACATCTTTCAGCAATAGCATACACTTTACTTATTCCTATTTGCTTCTCGGTGCAAGAGTCTGACAAAGGGGTGTGAGCTAGAAGGAGGCAAGGCTCAAGGGTAGGGTTGCCAGATTTAGCAAATAAAAATACAGGATGCTCAGTTACATTTGAATTTCAGATAAATTATTATTGATTTTAGGATTATTGTTTTAGGATATATATGTTTCCTACAATATTTAGGTTGTTTGTACTGAACATTATCTGTTTATCTGAAATTCAAACATAACTGCATGTCCAGTACATTATCTGGCAATCCTACCCAAGGATAACTTTACCATCTCTAAGAAGCGATCAAGTCCCTTGACTTTTTGGAGCTGGCAAACAAAGGACCCATCCCCTACCCATGGCACTGATGATTTTTCAAGTGTCTTTTTAGGCCCAAGTCAGATTCAGGCCCAGAAATGAGCACATAGTACAGGAGAAGCCTGAGAAGGGTACACAGCTCCCATGATCATTGAGAGAGAGTTGGTTGTGTGTATGTGTGGGTTGGGGTGGGAAGGTGTTTCATGTGTCTCCATTCTTGTACTCTCTTGAGTCTATTTTATAGGAGACACCATCCTTTACCTGGGGATATGATTAATACATTCCTAGATATAGTCAGGAATATTGTATGCTACTGTTTTTTATCCCACCTGCTATTTATCCCATTCTGGATCATCACTTTACACCTGGCTGTTTCTATAGCTTCCTCACCTGTCTCTACCCCTCTAGCTCCTCCATCCAAACACCTATGGCCATAGTAATGTTTCTAACCACAGAATTATCACTTAAAAGTAAAGGCTGAGCTCCTTAGTGGGGCAGTCAGCATCTTCCATGGTCTGACCCCTATCTTAACCCACTTGTATTTTCTTCAACCTTCAGCTTACACTCAGGACATGGAAAACTTTTTGTAGAACATGTAGTTTTCATTCACACTTCTATGACTTTCTTTGTTGTCCCCTTTATCTGATTAGCATTCTAAATTTCTGAACAGCGAACTCTTGTTTATCTATGCTTTATGGTGAGCTCCATGCTAGCCCCTCAGGTGGCTTTACTCATTTTCTTTTATAGTTCCCACTGTAGTTTGTTAGCACCCCCAGACTCTCTCTCCAACTACAAACACCATTTACATCTGTCTCTTCCTAGGTCTATTGGGGAAGGCTCTGTGACTTGCTCATTTTTGCTGCTGAAAAGTCTAACACTTGCAGTAGCTGCTAAATTAGAGTCTATTCAATCAGCAGAGGAACTTGGGGTGGGAGAAGAATTGACTTCTCTGTAAGTATGTGAAGAATACTGCCCAGCATCTCTCTCGGAGGTGAACCATGGTAGGAAGGGGCTAAAAGTACATATCAACTTATACAGGATTCTCCTTAAGAGCCATACAGTAGAAATGTAGTTCGTTTAGAAAATAAGCTAGAATGATGTGAATGTTCATTGCGGTATATTACACACAAGTGATGGGAGATTAGCTATACAGAGTTTAAAAGGTTTCTCCGCCCTGGGTATACTGGTGCAAGCATTTCTTCTTGAATGAATTTATGAGTTTCATTACTATGGAAATACAGATTTTTAGCCTGTTGGTAAGTTAATTTCCACCCAGGTGAGATAGCTTTGGGTGTTGCAAATTTTGAAGGTGTCTGAGGTTTGATTTGCAAGAATTAAAGATGAGACCAGACATTTCCTAAATAGACCACTTTAGTGAATGGTCTCTAGAATGCCAGAGATGTTCAGTCAGTGAAAAAGAGAGTCTACTGAAAACCCAAGTACTATTTCCCTTTTGGAAAGGAAAATCTCTCCCAATCTTACTAAGCAAATTCACCTACAGCATGTATGGAAGAAAAAAAAAAATCACCTTGCCTAACCTGCCAGTAGGGGGCGCAGAAAGGAAAACAGCCTCTTTTGATTGATGGTTGGACCTCCAGGCTGGTTGAACAGCTAGAATAATTTGAAATGCAATTGAGCACTGAAAATGTAACCAGACTAATGTCTTATGAAATATATATGCTTTTATATTTAATGTTTTCCTTGGAACTCCTAGGAGGTGCACCCCTTACTTTTATAAGGACTTATTCTCTTAGCACCTCTGGGCATTTAAATTAGTTTAATCTGGTTTTGGACATGGTTAAGGTTGCCTGTGTCTAAGACAAGTTATTTTAATTTGGGATTTTAAACCACAATAACCTGTTGAGAAAAAAACGTGTCAAAATTCTAGAGAACTTCTTTAGAGTGAAATATTATTACTAATTTGGGATTCAAACTATAGGTAAATAGGAGTTCTAGTAAAACATTGCTTTTACCCTGAGAGCAATTCCCAGAGTAGACAGTGGAGGAGATTTTTCATTATGAAGCCCCACCATTCTGATTTTAGAAATCAGTTTTCCTTGTGTTGTCTGCTTTG